AGATTGCTGTCATTATTTCAGCTCTTAGTTCTACCTTTACTTCCTAAAAAGTCCCAGAAGCCATATTACACAATAGGACCCTGGTGGGATTCGAACCCACGACCACTCGGCTTGTAGTCAGCAGCACTAACCACTAGTCCACCGTCGGCGGAATATAATATTATGTATATTATTCATTGTAATTATTTTGTTAAAATAAAAATAAATTTATAAAATGTCTTCAGAAATAATAAATTCTAATTTTAACTTTTTTCTTTCCAAATAAAATATTAGATAATAAATAAAAAACCAGCAGACGAAAATAAAGAAAATTATGATGAGGAAAGCATGTTTTTGATGTGAGACTATGATTGGTGTGAATCAATTCTAGTAATTCATTCACATAATTGGGAAAAGTCTGAAAGGGACTATTTTCCGCGTAAACGTCTTTGTCTCAATTCTCATTTTTTGATGGACTCAGTGTCGGCAACTTCAGAAACTGCAGTAAAAACTCCTCGAGTCCTTTGGGACGGCGAAGGTTTCATCGAAATAAAACATGATTCCCAGTCGGCACTTTTAAACAAAGGACAGAGATTCCTCTAATTCGATTTGTAGTGTCGACTCCACGCTACCCAAAAAAACTTATTTCCAATATGCTTTGAAAGTAAATCCGGGTGCTCGCGTTTCAATTATTACACCGATCCGAATCAAAGTTTTATCTGCACCGGGAATTAAGTGTTTGATACCTAACTACTTTTATTTGAAAACTTTTTCTTTTAAGTTGTTATCTCTCAAATCCAACACAATTAACTCATAATTTTTATTCACTTAATCTAAGAACAATATTTACAAACAAAAATCGTTATAAGTTATAACTTTAACAAATTTAACATACACATTTATCTACATGTTTTTCCAATTTCTTAGCTACTATATTTTGAGGTACCATCTCCATCTTTTGTTTTTATAATAGCCGTCATTAAATGTAGTATTTATGAATGTAAAATTACAAAATGGTGGACATATAAAAATACAAATTAATAATAATACATAATATTATTATAGTAATACTAAAATTTTTGGACGTATTTCTATTTAAAATTATCTGTGAAGCCATAAATTATAAGTAACTAATATTACATTTTTTGTCGAGTGGTTAATAGTATGCTGATTCTATTCGTAATTATTGATCGTGATAACATTACTTCCTATTGGATAAAATTTTCCTCCTTCTGAAAATAGCATTCCTTCCTTAGCTATTATAGCTTTTATCTAGTATTTTTTCCCGCTAAATTTCAGATTTAAATAATAAGCATCCTCGACAAAAAAGCATATTTTTTTCCTCGTGTGGAATCGCCTATTGTTCCAAAGATTCTGGTACAGAGTCGGTAAAACCTGTGGTTTCAAATATACAACAATACAATACAAAAAAAAATTAAACTAAAACCTTGATACAGTAGATTGGAATAGCCGAAAAGCGGCCAAACCACAATGGGTGCTCTTGTAATTAAACAAATCTAAAGTAATGAAGAAAAATATAGAAAAAACATTAAATTTTTACGTGGTGTTTAATAATAATAAAATGATAGGTCTTTAAAGTTAACTAGTATAATAACCTATTTAATATTTTATAATTTCAAAACATCAACAAAATATTTATTAACAATAAAGTAAAGTACTAAAAATTAACAATTTTTTACTTTAAGTACTATGGCAGTTTTTTAGAAATCAAGCTGTCCCAATTGTATTCATTTTGCAGGCAAAAGTTTTTATAGTGGATGTCAATTGTGTATTGAAATATATTCTTTATGGGCATTTTTTTATTTCCTATTAATATAATTATTTAAATAACAATATTAAGTGTTAAATTATTAATTATGGCTGGTTTTACCAAGAATTTAGTAGATTTTATATTTAAAAATGATAATTACGATGCAAACATTGATGAAACTTTATCTTAAAATATTTTTTGTATAATAATAGGTATTTGTCGTAGAAAAAGTATAGAATGCAATTTGTTTATAAACTTTACGTGACTAAAATGGCTTTTATCAAACTTGATACATAATATACTATTTTTTACAGAATCAAGTTTATTTTAAAACATACAATTTTCATTAAAATTTATAAAGATACATTAAATAAATAGTTTAAAAAATAATGTCATTTTTAATCTTCTTTAACAAGCTTTTGATATTTTAATCGCTGCTACTGTTCCAATTAAATTCAAATTTAGACTATTGTTTTATACTATTAATTTTTTTATACTTAGCCATCGAATAGCGTTGGTAAGCCACCCTTTATACATATGATTTTAGATATACTTAAAAAAGGATTAAACTTTAACGTTTTATAAAATTTCCATTTAACATTTAGTTTTAATTAAATATAAATAAAGTAATAATTTGATTGAAAGTCATAAAAATTAAAGTAACCATTTTTTATGTTTAAAAAACTATTTCGATAAAAGCTTTTTTACTAATATATATTTAATTCATAAAAATAATAATAAATATTTACAGCTATTTTGCATAATTTTTATTACGTAACGCAATTTCTCCCTTATTATTGGTAAATTTTGCAATAAATAAAATTGGAGCGATTTATGATACTTAACCATTAAAATGAAATATGTAACAAAACAATGCATATCGAATATAAAAATAATGTAATGTAGGTTTACATAACTTCTGACCAATATTGTACACGCAATTATAATGATTTAAACTATGTTTGAATCTATGTTGAATGAATATTAATTGATTATTTAAAATTAATACATTTAGCTGTAATTTCAACTTTAAAACCAATTGAATATTAAATAGTATAAATATTTATGATTTGACTTTTATTAATTTATACATATGTGTTAAATACAATAAAATTGGATTAAATGCACAATATATTTACACTATAAATTTATTATAATCCATTTGAGTTATGGTCTGAAAAGGTATAAACAGTTTATTTTCAAAATGCACCTACAAATCGTTTTGAGAATTCCACACGGTTATAAATTTTCGAAGTATTTCGAAAATAAAATAATGTTTTTTAAAATATATTTAAAGATAATGACAATTATAAACCACAGTTAAAAAAATTACAAAACATTTAAAAAAGTATCAAATGTTGCGTTTAACTAAATAAAGAGTGTCCGATCAAGACAAAAAAATTAAATTAAATTTTTGAAGTATAAAGCATGTTCCTACATCCTCTTTGTCTTCCTAGCATACCTAAATTAGCCATCGTTATCAAAATACTTTTAAAAATAATACATGGAATGAAATGGTTTGTTTATGACTACCGCCGACGGTGGACTATGGGTTAGTGCTGCTGACTACAAGCCGAGAGGTCGTGGGTTCGAATCCCACCAGGGGTATGACTGTTTATTTGTGTTTGTTCTATTGTGTAATAGTCCTTCGGTTTAAGCCCGCGGTCCGTTCCTACCCCTAACCCGCTCAAGCCATTCAGTTGGCTTCTTAGTCTTCTTAGGAAGTAAGGGTGGAACTAAAAGAGCACTTTTGTATATAAACTTTTTTTTTTTAATTGAATGTGACATGTTTGTTATATATCGAATCCCACCAATAGTTGTTTGTTTTAAAATGATAAAAGTTTAGTTTGTTATTCACGTAGGTAATACTTGCATTTGAATGCTCTGTTTGTCTGTGTGTTTATTTTTTAACAACTATCTCTATGGAAACTACCTGTCTGATAAACTAACTGGAACTTAACCAGAGATTAATAAATTTGGCTTTACAAAGACAAAAACATATTTTAAAATTTCCCCATTTCCCCCTGTATTCGCGCCTGTGAACTATAGTATTGATATGACATTTTGCACTGTTTGCAATAAAATTTAAAACGATATTTTTGTGGTGTTAATAATTCGACGTATATTTGTCGAAAAGATAAAACAAATGTATATGTATTTCGATATTTAAACTAAACGTATAAAACAGTAAACATTCGCCCATCATTTTAATTGAACGTGTAAAATGTAGCGACAATATTTTTTGTAGTTCAATAAAAAGTATGGTATTAAAAGTTGTATTTTACGTGATAGCATTTGTGTAATTTCCCACGTATATTTTATATCAGCATATATGGACAAATAAAGAAAATGTAACTCTGCAAAATATTTACAATTAAATAAATAAATAGTTATATTTTACATCCTTGATGCGTATTAATAACGTGCCCTAGGTAAATAGCTATTTATTTGCTGTAAAATATTAACGAGCTAAATAAAATTTCACTACGCAAATAATTTTCATATTTTATTTGCTTTTTAAAATGTAATTTAAATTTTTCTTGACTTTAAGCGATATTATAAATATGATGACTTCGGGCGTTTCAAAGGCTGCTATAGAAAAATGCATTAGTTATTTATTTCCTACTACGGGTGATATGAATGTATTTCATATTTCTTAAGTTTTTTGTAAAAAATATAATATAAATTTTAATAAAACTTAAAAACAGGAATCATTAATTTCATAACACACAAAATTTTTATTTTCAACTTCTATCTATTCAACAACTATTCAGCCTGGTTCTGAAGTGGGCCTTCCATAATTACTATTTTTTTTCGAAATTTATAATAATTTTTAGAGATTTTTTTTTTAATTTTGAAAAATCGAAAAAAATTGTAATTATGGAATGCCCACTACCGGACCAGGCTGAATAGTTGTTGAATAGATAGAAGTTGAAAATAAAAAGTTTTCGCGAAAATAGAAGAAGACACACATTTTTAAAAACACGATTTAAACTTTAAACCTCAAAAATCTTGACTTAAAACGCTTCAAATATTTTCAATATATTTTTTTCCGAAAAGAACATTTAAAAACGAAAATTTTATATAGAATGGACATTTTGATTTGGACCATTTTTTAAGAAGTTATGAGCAAAAAACAATCTTTTGAACCCGTGATCAAAAAAATCTCAAAATTTACTGAGAGATCTAAAAAAAATTGAAGAAATAAAATTTTTTTTTTTAAATTATCCGATTTGGCGTGGAATGCCCCATATATATATATATATATATATATATTGATAAATAGTACCAAGTGACCTCCAAAATAGATACTCACTAGACGTTGTGACTTCATATATAACGATGTGACTTCCGATTTCGGAAGTCACTACGAAAAGTGCATTTTTTTAGCGCAATGTCATATAGAGGTCGAAAAAAGCGTTATTTCAAATTTTAGGTTGGAAGTCAGTGCGTGCCATATATACCTACAAAACTTTCCTTTAGTTCGGGTATATACCGCTGGCGCTGTTGTCGCTACAAATATTTAACAAACTGTACGATTTGACTTCCGCGTGGGCATGACAATATAACTATCTTTGTTGTGCCTGCAGTTCACGCTATACCTAACTCTCTCTTGTTAAGTCGGCGTTGCCAAATCTTTATTTTCATTCCTTTAATTAGTAGAGTGATATTAATATCTCATAGCGCTGAGACGCTGCGAGACATTTAAGATCTGCCGCCTTTGGCTTTGAATCACTGCTTTTTTCCTTTATTCCAGGGACTAGGATTAAATCACTAATTTTGAATAGCTCTCAACTCACTCGTGATCGAAACCTATTTCGATCTGCGAAGT